TAGGTCAAGCTGGCCCTTCCGGCCAGCACTCATGCTAAATGGAATCCTGGGGTCTGAGATGTTAAGCCAAAATATGAAAAGAGAGGTGGCAGTACCAAGAAGCAGGGGGAGGTCAGTCATAGGTTAAGAGGCTTAACAAATCCATCTGGGAACAACAAAGAAGCTAGGGTCCAAAGGTCTGAGATTCTTGGATTTGCTACTGCTAAGCCCTTAAGAGGTCCCCGGCACCACCAGAAAGGGTCTTCTGACAATATATAGCTCTCATATTATGTGGCTATTTTCCTTGTTTACCTCACAGGCTCTCCCTATTAACTGCCCAACACCAAACAACTATAGCTCCCAGAACGCATCGTGCTATTTCACACCCATGGTTTCACACCTATTGTTCTTGTTTCCTAGAAATATGCTTCTACTGCTTTGCCTACCTGGAGAACTCTTCTCACCCTTTAAAAGCCAGCTACAATGTTCCCTACTCTAATCCTCACAATATAATATCATTGCACATACTACACTGTATGGCAATTGATAAAAAATAAAGGTCATGCTTGGCATGTAGTGTGCTTGCAAGATGTGCTGATAAGTGAATAGAAGCATATATCCTAGTAGGTCTAGTGCAATTTTCTCTGCCTGGGATGGTAACACAGTAATGCACTCCTCTAACTGATTTGTTTCTAGAGCCTTAGCCGTACTATCTCATGGGAATTTTAGCATCAGAGATTCCTGATTGATTGGTGCTGGCCTCAGCTCAGACTAACGTGCAGCCTCTCTGGGTCTCTGCAGGCCCTCAGCCATTACTGACACTCAGCTCTGCAAAGCAAGGGCAATATCGGGGCAATGCCAACCACATATCCTACTGCAGTCATCCAGTGAGGTGGCCCTTCAGAGGATGACCTGAAGAGAGAGAGTGAGGTAACCCTAGGAAGGGGATTATGAGCCTTGAGGGGGAAGGAAGGGGAGGGACCTGGCCTGCAAGAGATTCATGATCCATTGCAAGGATGGGAATTTTTTAGGGGGAGGACAGTTCACAGCATTCATACGATTTGCTAAGAAGTCCCTGACTACTAAATATTAAGATTCACCATACCAGAAACACGCTTTGCTTGAGGTAGCTCTGCTCAGAGCACCAGCTGTTGAATCCAGATCTCAGGGGACTTGGTCATGGTCAGGACAGATTAGGGAAGGGAGCTGGGTTCCCCCACAGCTCAGCATTTACAGACTCCCATACCGGCCTGAGAGAAGCCTTTCTGAAGGCAGATATTGTACACATTTTAAAGAATGTCCATGATCCGTGTCTTGCACAACTTCAAATGCAGTGAGTAGGGGGCAGTTAGCCTCATGATGCCTCTACCTTGGCCTTTATGTTCCTTAGAACAACAAACCTGCCAAAGAATTAAAAAAAAAAAAAAAAAAAAGGCAAATCTCCAGGGTCACATTCATGACAAAAGTCTGGTTTGAACTCCCGCTCTCAGTCCTGAGCTCAGGAAATGCTAATAAACAGACAAATCGTGATGAATGGCTCTTTTACATTTGATTTTTTCTTTCTTTCTTTCTTTCTTTCTTTCTTTTTTTTTTGGCAGAGACACATGTGGTGTAGGAAGTCAGCAGATAAATGCTTTCCAGGCTAAAGAGGCAAGAAGCAAATAAAGAGAAAGCAAGAACTACAAATCACTGCTCAACAAAATAAGAGAGGACACAAACAGATGGAAAAACATTTCATGCTCATGGTTAGGAAGAATTAATATTGTGAAAATGGCCATAGGCCCAAAGTAATTTATAGATTCAACACTATTCCCATCAAACTACCATTGACCTTCTTCACAGAACTGGAAAAAACCACTTTAAACTTCATATGGAACCAAAAGAGAGTCTGCATAGCCAAGTCAATTCTAAGCAAAAAGAACAAAGCTGGAGGCATCAGGCTACCTGACTTCAAACTATACTACAAGGCTACAGTAATCAAAACAGCATGGTACTGGTACCAAAACAGATATAGACCAATGGAACAGAACAGAGGCCTCGGAAATAATGCCACACATCTACAACCATTTGATCTTTGACAAACCTGAAAAAACAAGCAATGGGGAAAGGATTCCCTGTTTAATAACTGGTGTTGGGAAAATTGGCTAACCATGTGCAGAAAGCAGAAATTGGACCACTTCCTGACACCTTACACTAAAATTAACTCCAGATGGATTAAAGACTTAAACATAAGACCTAAAACCATAAAAACCTTAGAAGAAAACCTAGGCAAAACAATTCAGGACATAGGCATAGGGAAGGACTTCATGATTAAAACACTAAAAGCATTAGCAACAAAAGCCAAGACAGACAAATTGGATCTAATTAAGCTCCAGAGCTTCTGTACAGCAAAAGAAACAATCATTAGAGTGAACCAGCAACCAACAGAATGGGAAAAAATTTTTGCAATCTACCCATCTGACAAAGGACTTATATCCAAAATCTATGAAGAACTAAAACAGTTTTACAAGAAAAAACAAACAAATAAACCCATTCAAAAGTGGGCCAAGGATATGAACAGACACTTTTCAAAAGAAGACATATATGAGGCCAACAAACATGTGAAAAAATGCTCATCATCACTGGCCATTAGAGAAATGCAAATCAAAACTACACTGAGATACCATCTCGTGCCAGTTAGAACGGTGATCATTAAAAAATCTGGAGCCAACAGATGCTGGAGAGGATGTGGAGAAATAGGAACACTTTTACACTGCTGGTGGGAGTGTAAATTAGTTCAACCATTGTGGAAGACAGTGTGGCGATTCCTCAAGGACCTAGAAATAGAAATTCCATTTGACCCAGCAATCTTATTACTGGGTAGATATCCAAAGGATTATAAATCATTCTATTAGAAAGACAGATGCACATATATGTTCTTTGCAGCACCGTTTACAATAGCAAAGACTTGGAACCAACCCAAATGCCCATCGATGATAGACTGGACAGGGAAAATGTGGCACATAAACACCATGGAATACTACACAGCCATAAAAAACAATGAGTTTGTGTCCTTTGTAGGGACATGGATGAATCTGGAAACCATAATTCTCAGCAAATTGACACAGGAACAAAGAATCAAGTACTGCATGTTCTCACTCATAGGTGGGTGTTGAACAATGAGAACACATGGACACAGGGAGGGGAGCATCACACACTGAGGTCTATGGGGGGTGGGAGCTAGAGGAGGGATAACATCGGGAGAAATGCCAGATATAGGTGATGGGGCTGGAGGCAGCAAACCACACTGCCATGTATGTACCTATGCAACAATCCTGCATGTTCTTTACATGTACCCCAGAACGTAAAATGCAATAAAATATATATACATATATTGCTTTTATATATATACATATATATATGAGAAAGCAAATCTAAAACTGGAGAGGCTGACACTAAACTCTGGGGAATTGAGAGTCACTTTTACCCACATCCTGTAAGGGCAGAAAAAAACACAGGAAAAAGCTTTCTACTAAAATATGTATGTTTTGTTTTTTCAGTTTTTGAATAGAAAAACATGCATTACTCAAATCCACTCAGATATCTGAATATCTCTGCTGGACGTTTTTTGTTTGTCTGTTTGCTTGGTTCCTACTGTACCGTCCCTAACTTCTGAAAAATAATTTTAAAAAATCCTCAGAGTGAATCATTAAGTTTTAGTTGTTAGAAGCACATGCCTTTGTACCCGAACAGATGTGGTCTCTGCCATTGACTTGCTAAGTAATGCTGGATAAGTTTCTGAATCTCTTTAAGAACCCAATTTTTCAGGAATTAAAATGGAAGTATGAATAGTGCTGACTTCAAAGAGTTGCTGAGAGCATTAAGTGAACTGATGCATTAATAAATTTAGGCTAACCTGGCATACTATCAGCATTCAATAAATGGTAGTTTAAAAATAGGAGTAACATCTCTGTCAATAAAGAAAAACAATTTCAAAGACACATTTTTGTGCACAACCATACACGTTATAACAGGCAGAAAGGAAGAAAGAAAAAAATGCAGAAATAGTAGGTCTGTGTTCCTTAGTGAAAATTCCCTACTTTATACCTCACAGGGGCTGTCAGACTGTCTTCCTCACCTTCACGTGAGTTCAGGTCTGGCAGAGAAGTGTCCCCGCTCCCCTGTAACAACATGGGTCATCCATCCAGGCCGATGGAAAGTGCAGAAAACCACAGCCTCTGCCATCATGCTTTCTGCCCACCTCCACTACACCCAACTTAGCCAAGAGGCTGGACGGTTCTCCCGTGATCATTATCCTTTAGAAGCTATTAGCACTGCATTTTCTTGTCTCCAAAAATATTTTTATGTTTTCACCATGTTAGAAAATTATTCCTTTAGTTGTTGTTGCTGTTGCTTGTTTTTGTTTTTGTTTTTTAAGCATTGCAGCCTGGTTCCTCCTCACTTTGGACAATCACTCCGGCTAAGTTTGTATGGAATGGTGTCTGCCGCAATGGGCAAGCGTCATTCCTGTTCACCTCTCATTCAGACCACATAAGATAATTTTAGCAAATGTGCTGCTCACATCATAGTTCTGCATCTATGCTGATGTCTAGGGAGCCATTATTAATCCCAAGTACATTTTCTCTCAACTTGTCTCCCCAGTTCAAGTCTTATTTCTTCCAAGATTTCTATATGGCTTTTCTTACTCAACACTGCATTAAATATAAATTCCATTTTTTTCTAGTTAAACTATCTTCCCCAAAGGGGAGAAAGAAAACAATGCTTTCTTGTTTCCTTTTATCAAAGAAAGCTGACTTATTAGTAAAATCAACAGAGATGTAGGTTAAGGACTGTAGATAACTCCCTTATCATCCACCAGTTCCTTCAATATCAGGGAAGCCTGTCTTGGCACCAGGATTGAGAAAGAATTCCACATGTCCGCCACTTTGGACATTCCGTACTTCTACGCTTTCAACAAGTGGCAGCCACAGTTTACAGGAGCACAGATTTCAAAGGAAATCATAGCAATCAAGCTTCCTTACCCGGCAGTCTCTCTGAAGTGTTTTCATAAGCGCATTGTATGTTTCTGTATCAAAATACAACCCTTCATGCATGTCTTGCAGGAAATCTAAGTCCTTAAACGTGGGGTTGGATTTCTCTCTCTCTTTACGAGATGCTCTTCGCTTATACGTTGAGCCTTTCAAGTCATATGTAAAGTGCATTCTCATGGAGCGTGGCAAAACGTTGTTCATCACCACAATCCTGATATTAATTCCTCCTGATTGCATACAATACAGTCCGTAAAATTTTGGCAAGAGAGTCCTTGGATTCTGGTTTAAATTCTAGAAGCCAAAAAAAGAAAAATATATTTACAGTTTTCTGTCTTGACAAAATAATGCTCCACTAAAGATGTGTTTTCATGCATATATAATAATTAAAAATGGGATGTGATTGTCTTTATTAATGTCCATCACTAAAATGTTGCTGTTTCTAATCTATTTCTTAAGTCTGTTTATTGGAAGAGCAACTTTACCCTTCTAAATTCAGGGCAGTTGAAAGTGACTGAACTGAAATTGAAACATAATGTCCCAATTTGGCTCCAACTAAAAACAGGCAAGGAATTGGCTGGTGCCATGAGTGACTGTTTTCTAAGGTAGCTAAAGAGACAATTAATTACCAAGGTATACGGGATGAACATTTAAAATTTTAATAGTTCCTGCACAACTGTCTTCCAAAATGGTACACCAATTTACAACCATACTATGTAAGACTGTACACAGACTCCCATCACTCTTATCAGTGCTGAATAGTACCGAACTTTACAATCTCTGTAAGCAGGATTAGTCAAAAATGGAAATCTGTTTGTAAAAATTTGAATATCACTGATTATAGAAACTTAATATTTTTAATGAATTTTTAGTCACCCTAAAGATAATTTTGCTCATTTTTCTGTAGGTTTTTGTCACTGCTGAAATTCTTGATACATTCTGGATATTTATCATTTTTCTTGTCTATATAGGGTAGTTTTTTCTAGTCTGTTGTCTTTTTTATTATTTTAAAAAATAGGGAGGCCAGGTGCGTGCTGGCTTATGTTTGTAAGCCCAACACTTTGGGAGGCCAAGGTGGGCAGATCACAAGGGCAGGAGTTTGAGACCAGCCTAACCAGCATGGTGAAACTCTGCCTCTACTAAAAATACAAAAAATTAGTCAGGCATAGTGGCATGTGCCTGTAGTTCCAGCTACTTGGGAGGCTGAGGCAGGAGAATTGCTTGAACCCAGAAGGCAGAGATTGCAGTGAGCCAAGATCACGCCACTGTACTCTGGTCTGGGTGACAGAGCAAGACTCCGTCTCAGAAAAAAAAAAAAAAAAAAAAGGAAATACATGCCTATTTTCGTTCGCTTTTATAGTAGATAAGAAATAAAAATAGTTTACGAAAGGGCATGTATTCGTGAAAATTGTCTCTGCTATCCTGGATTCTTTCCCCAGTTCTCAATATTTGAGAAAACTACTGCTCTCACTTTATTTCATTCCAGAAATATTCAATGTGGTTATATTAATTTTGTGTCTGGTATTTTTTGTTATATAAATGTGTTGCCTTTTGAAAAAAAATTTTATTCATTTATTTATTTACTTTGAGAGATAGAGTCTTGCCCTGTCACCCAGGCTGGAGTGCAGTGGCATGATCTTTGCTCACTGCAACCTCCGCCTCCTGGGTTCAAGTGATTCTCCTGCCTCAGCTTTCCAACTAGCTGGGGCTACAGGCATGCACCACCACACCCAGCTAATTTTTGTATTTTTAGTAGAGACAGGGTGTCACTATATGCTGGCCAGCCTGGTCTCAAACTGCTGACCTCAAGTGATCCACCTGCCTCTGCCTCCCAAAGTGCTGGGATTAAAAGTGTGTGCCACCACTCCCATCCTAAATGTGTTGTCTTAACTTTTTATCTAATTTTAATTAAATATAAGTAGTCACATATGTCTATTATCACTTTAGACAATGCACTTTTACAAGAAGACAAATATATCTGAGCTTAGAAATATGGAATTTTAAGATTTACTAATTAAGCAGGTTATCAAATAATATTATATCAATTTGATCCTAATTTTAGATAATTTTAAAATGTGTGCATGAACAAAGTATAACTGAAAGCATGTGCACCAAATTTTAGTAATACGTATATCTAGGAAAGACACTATAGTCAGTTGAATTTTTTTGGCTTTATTTTCTGTTTTCTCTTAAAAAAAACAAACTTAAGCATCAAAATCTTTTAAAATCTGCCTATAGGCCACTAATATTTTTGTTTAATTTTTAATTTCTATACTTCTATATGAAATTAATTTAAGTATTTAATGCTGTGCCTAGCAGATTTTGGAATTAAAATAATATATTTTATGTAAAAATTTTTAAATAAAATGATCATATGGCATCTCATGAACGCATTTTTAAAAACAAAGATGATATTTATCACCACTCATAGCAAGTGATTGGCAGAACTTGGGTTTCTGAAATCCAGACTGCTTCAGATAGCTCTTCCAATCACAGAAGATTAATAATTGTTACAAAAGTACAATGAAACTGGAAGTATGAAAATGACTGGACTACTTAGGAACAGTGGAGTTAGTTTTGAAAATTTGGAGTAAATGTGTAATAAATCCATCTAGGCTAAGTTACTGTTCCTTTGTCTCTAAAATATTATATGAAAGGTGATTTTTTTACATTGTCATATTTACCTATGAAATTCTAAATTCTGAAGTACAGTAGCTGAGAACAGCTAATATAGAATATGTGCTGGCATATTAGTGTTGGGGTTAAAAATGCATTCTCTGGAGCCCTTTGTCTTGTGTAGCCCCAGCTCTGCAGCTCTCCAGCTCAATCACCCGTGGCAGTTACTTAATTTATCTTTGCCTCAATTACCTCGTCTATAAAATGGTGATAATTGTAGTATCCAAGGTTGCTGTGAGGATTAAATGAGTTAATGAATGCAAAGCACTTAAGCCCTTGCTTAACACACAGTTAGCAATCAATGAAAGTTAACCATTCATACTATTACTATGGACTGGCTGCAAAGAGCTTTGCAACACATTGCTTCCTTTCTCTTTCCCTTATTTTGCATCCTGTATCCTTTCTTTATCACAACAACTGTGTAAGAATAGTATTTCCCATCTTTTAAAGACTGAGGGAACTAAGGCTCATCAGCTATGCTGCTTACTCAGGGTCACACAGTTAACTATTGGCTGAGCTGGGATTTGAACTCAAGATTGTGGGATTCAACAACTATGCTCTGCCATTCAGTTCTAGTTTACTTTAAAAAATCTATTCAATGAATGTCATAGCATAATCTAAATACAGAATAAAGCATAGCAAAGAGAAAGAAACATGCCTAAGCTTCATTGAAAAAACAATAGATAAAAACTGTTGAGGAAAGTAATTAAGCTTCAAGTTGAAGCTTTAATGATGTGCAATTCCTTACCATGTAATAGCCCGGCAGTAGCTTTTGAAGAAACTCAGCTTCTTTGTGCTGAACTGTTTTGATGATAAATTCATCATCACTGGTCACAAAAAACAAGGATCCACTGGCTCCAGGGTTAGACAGTTCTATTAGAGGTTCACTACAGATGGAATACTAAAAGAGTAAATGAATAAACATTAAAATATATACTTGATGTACATGATGCCTTGTCCAAGGAGGACAATCATAGCATTGTACATCTTAGCTATGTTGAAACAAGAAGCCCTCTCTACGGGCTTTAAAAGAGGCTGTAGGTATACCAAGAAGGCTTTTTGTGAGAGTTCTAAAGATTTAATTGGTCTGTTTATCTTAACAATTCTATGATGAAAAACAGACATACGCTCCTTATCCCCAGAGTCATGCGATAGAGTCATGAATCATCCTATCTGCCCAATGAGATAATTCAGTCATGTTGACTAAGGTGCTTTGTTTCCAGCAAATGTCCATAAAATAACAAGTGAAGATGTGATCTGCACTGTGTATTTATCACTTAAACACCAACCCTATTCTCTTTTCACTATTTTCCCAGAGATGTCATCTATTCATGGTTTCAACAAGGAGATGACTTCAACATCTGTTTCTCCAGCCCAGATCTTTCGCTAGGGCTCAAGACCTGTTCATCTAACACTTTAATAGACATTTCTGTTATGCTTATACTACAAACAATTTATATGCAGTAAGTTCACAGTCAAATTCATCTCAGGGCTGTGGTTAAGCCCATATGATGCCTTTGTGGTAATTAGAAAGATGCAGCCAACTGGGTGTGGTGGCTCACACCTGCAGTTCCAGCATTTTGGGAGCCTGAGGCTGGTGGAGCACAAGGTCAAGGAGTTTGAGACCAGCCTGACCAATATGGCTAAACCCCATCTCTACTAAAAATACAAAAAAATTAGCCAGGCATGGTGTAGAACACCTGTAATCCCAGCTACTCAGGAGGCTGAGTCAGGAGAATCGCTTGAGCCCAGGAGGCGGAGGTTGCAGTGAGCCGAAATCATGCCACTGCACTCCAGCCTGGGCAACAGAGAAAAAAAAAAAGAAAGATGCAGCCGTTTATCTTGGCAGATGCAGCTCTGGGACAGGATACTAAGTTGGTGAGTAGGAAAGGCTGGATTCCAGTCTTCAATCCTTCCCTTCGGTCAGGTAGGGGAGCTTAAGCAGCACACAGCCTGCGCAACTGCACACAGTGACCCTAGATCATCTGCCTTTTGTTCTCTGCCTTCTGGAAGCGTTATTTGCCTTGTTCCCCAAACCAAAAACTAGGGCATCATCCTTCACTCCTCACATTTCCTCCTTTCCTATTAAGACTGTTGATGCTGCCTGTCCCGTTCTGCCAATATCCTCAGTTCATTTAGTCATGCATTTGTGACCCTGGAATATAAGGTGTAGACTCCAAGCTCTCATAAAAAGTGAAGGCAGACCCTAGACTCTCTTTAGGAATTTGGATTCATTGTTCCATGGCATTTGAATTCCTGACACAGAACTTTCTTAGGGGTAGGAGTTTATGTTGTGAAAATAGGAAAACAACAAATGATGCAGAAATTAGAGGCTGCAAAAAGAGAAATTAGGGGGTGATCCAGAAAGAGTTGTCTAGAAAAGACTGGATTCAGACCTGAACATCTGCTCCCAATTAAAGTCTCCAATTCTTCTATAAGCAGTGACATAAAAAAAATGCAGTGACATAATATGAAGACTATTTCACTGGTTACTACATTGTTATATATTCTTTTATTATGTCATTTATACATTAAGATGAATGAAATAATAGATTGTTTTCATCCACTTTAATAACCCTTTGGGGGCTATTCATAGCCCATCATCATATGCAATAAACTGTGATTATGAAACTGAACAGGAATATCACCATCATGCTATAGAATTCTATGTTTCTCACTCTACAACTCAGTTACCACATTCTCTTTTAAGCCACCTCTTTGAAACATTGCCTCTTAAGAGCAAATGAAGAGGAGAGATGGGAACATTTTAATTAGTCATGATCGAAAGCCCCCATGTGTGCTCCTGGGTTTTATGCACCTTCCAGGCACTTATCATCTGCGCAAGCTGTTCTAATGTATTCATGCTCTCACTTCTATTTCCTGCAGGGCCTCTCTGCTATATCCACTGGAGAAAAAAATAAAAAGCAGAGCACAACCCAGCTGGGCCCTGCCAATATAAATTAACAATGTAATCTTGTCCCATGTGGCAGAGATAATTTTATGTGCCATTTTTTCCCCCGATAGTATGAAATATTCACTCTGTTCTCTTTCTTACTGGCGCAGGTGAGCCTGAAAAGACTCGTATAAGTTCTACTGGATTTCTGAATACCCAGGCACATGATGGAGAAGGAAAGAACCCATGGCTGGTTGCCCAAGCAGAGATGGGAATGCTCTGGGGCCCTTTGGCTTTGCCTTGGGAGGTGTTTGCCTAGGAACAAGTAAGGAAGAAGGAAAGTTTGCACTGCTGTATGTGCAGAAGCACCTTCACCACGCTGTCTCACAATCCGAATTATGCATGTTTCAACTTCAAACTTGTAATCAGCACGCACAAGGTGCATTCTAATGGGACTGAGAACACAAACAGAGTAATTCAGACAGGAATCCAGAAGCAACAGCACAAAACTAACTAGAAATACACACACATGGCAGGTATTCAATATCATACCGATGTATGGAGTTACCAATGGCTAGATAATGTTTTCACACCCCCAACTTAGATCACTGTAACTTCATAAGTGGAAGTTTGAATAGCCCCAGTTTGACAGCCACAAAGATGCACTTTGTGATTTGCACTGTATCCTTTGTTTCTTCACAGAGTTTTTCAAGCAATGTCTTATTTCCTATTTCTATGCTTTCCTTTAGCTAAACTCTTCCAAAACATATTTTGCTAAATGTGTTTGACTTCTTTTGGCTGTATTCTTTACAATGGGTAATTACAGTTCAATGGGCTAAGGAGAGGCTAGCTTGAGTACATATTTGGTAAGGGGTCTGTGATTTTCATCAAATATGAAAAGCATGAGGCAGGCTGGTGAAGGGTCTTCAAGCCCTTTGGGAAGGATAGGGAGACCACTGTTTGATCGAGGCTCAGCCCCCTCCATTGTGGGTAACCTTGGGCATCTCCCTTTGCTGATTCCAGCTTCAGATTCCTCATCTGTAAAATGGAAGATTGAGGTAAAAAGTCTTTTGACGGTTATTATAACTGACACTCAAGCATGCTGTGTCATACAAAAGACCCTTTCCTCATCTACCACACTCCAGATCATTAGGTGGGGTCCCAGATAGAACGGTTTGGAGGTGAGCTTCCAGAAACTCCAAGGCTTGCTGGGGAGCTGCCTTGGTCCTATGCTGCAGATGTCCCCAGTACAGGCATAGGTGGGTGGCAGCAGCTGTTGGGGACAAGGCAATCATGTTTAGCTGGGGCCTTTGATCTGTTTCTTGCAAGCCCCAGAGATGTATCTAGTCACTGAACCAGGTGTGTGATGAATGAGTAAGGTGGGAAAATGGAATGAAACAAAAGCACACTTACATACCTGGCTCTAGCTTTCCATCTACCGTGTGTGTTTGTGTGTGTGTGTCTGTGTGTGTACCATGTGTGTGCGTGTGTGTATGTGTGTGTGTTTTCAGATGCAGTATTGGTCTGTCGCCCAGGCCACAGTGCAGTGGTGCAATCTCAGCTCACTGCAAACTTCGCCTCCTTGGTTCAAAGGATTCTCCTGCCTTAGCCTCCCAAGTAGCTGGGACAGGTTAATGCCATCACTCCCGGCTAGTTTTTTTGTATTTTTGGTAGAGAGAGGATTTTTCCATGTTGGCCAGTCTGGTCTTGAACTTCTCACCTCAGGTGATCAACCTGCCTTGGCCTCCCCAAGTGTTGGGATTACAGGCATGAGCCACCATACTTGGCCTCTCTTTTAAATTATATTTACATACATACAATTAAAAATAATTGTGTAATTAACACCCAGGTATCTATCTTCCAGCATCAACTCATGAATGGTCAACTCATTCATGATCATTCAATGATCAACTGATGGCCAATCTTGTTTCTTCTACACCTCCAACCATTCTGCTGCCTTACTTCCCTCAGATATTATTTTTTTGGCGGGGGGACATTCAATTTATTTATTTTTTTAACAATTATAGTGAGCTGTAAGTCGAATATCATTCAATTCACCTATTTAGAGTATATAATCCTTCTGATTAATTTTTTAAACTGATAAATAAAATTGTGTATTTTTATGACATACAGCATGATGTTTTGATGTATGTATACACTGTGGAATGGCTCAATCAAGCTAATTAACACATCCTTTACCTCACATATTCATCACTTTTTTGTAGTTGGAACTTTTTTCTTTTTTTTTAAAGATACACAATAGTTGTACATATTTTGGGGGTACATGTGATATTTTGATACCTATACACAATGTGTAATGATCAAATCAGAGTAATGGGATATCCATCACCTCAAGCATTTATCTTTAAAATCTATTCTCTTAGCAATTTTCAAGTATATATTATTATTATTATTTTAGTCACCGTGTAGATCTCCTGTATCTATTCCTCCTCTTTAATTCCATTTTTAAATTTATTGTTATTTTTATTTTTTTGAGTTGGAGTCTTGCTCCATCATCCAGGCTGGAGTACAGCAGTGCAATCTTGGCTCACTCCAACCTCCACCTCCTGGGTTCAAGTGATTCTCCTGTCTCAGCCTCCCAAAGGGCTGGGATTACAGGCGTGAGCCACTGTGCCCAGCTGTCTAATTCAAATTTTGTATTTTTTGACCAACTCCTCAGATTCCATTGAAGTACATCCCAAATATCAAACCATTTCATCCACAGATATTTCAGTATATCCTCTAAAAGACAAGGATTCTCCTTTTAAAATGGAACCATGATATTACCATCTCACCAAAAAAGTAATTTCTCAACACTATCAAATATCTAGTCAGTCTTTGTATTTTCTTAGTTTCCTGTAATTTAGAATTTTGTTTATTTCAGTTGTCTGGACCTATCTATTAATAATGTTCCTGATAAAAACTCTCCCCTCTAGCCATATTGGTCCACTAAACATCCTTCTGAAAATTGAACATGTCCACATCTCTGGTTCTACTGTGCCCCTTCCAACCCTTTGACCCCTGAGCATCCATCTCTTTTCTACCTTTTAAAATCCATTGTAATTTTTAAGGCACGGTTAAAACCACATTATGCTCATAAGATGATCTCCTAATCGTCACCCCAACAAAGAAAAAGGTCTCTATCCCAAACCCTGGAGTATTTTATGTTTTGCTTCAGTTTTTAAATTTATTGTCTGATAGAGTTGATTGGTTTTCCACATAGACAAATTGATTTTAAGTTTTTGTGTGTCATGACTTGTAGTTTTTTAAATTTCTCTACAACTATTAGCAAAGTATTTTAGATATAATAGGTACTCAAAGTGCCCACTGATCAATTAATTTACCTTTTGCCAGGTACAGGGACAAAGACTTTTCTTGTGAGAAGTGATGAGCTTAGAGTCTTGTGCTCTTCTGTAAATAATCTAACCACATTATGAAAATAATTTTTCCAGTTTAAAGACTCATTAGGAAACTTGGATAGGCTGTGTGGGAAGTTGTTCAGAAAAGGATCTTCCCCATAGAAAGCAAGTATGTGAGGTCAGAATGAATGAAAAAGTGGACCACCAGCCTTTGGGACAATGGATATGGGCGGGCTAAAGACAGGCATCCATCTCGTCATACCAGCAGTGTGAAACACAAGTCTAGGCATCTCTTCAAATGGTGAGAAGTTCAAGGAAGTTCAGAAAGAGAGTCCATTAAATTCGAATGTGTGGCAGCAGATGAGAGATCTACCTTGTTTTCCATAATATAATATTAAAACCCTATTGGGTTTCTCAAACACATTTCCTGAATGATGGCAACCCTCAGTAATTATAGAATGGCTAGAAACCAAAGGATGCTCTCTAACATCCTCTAATATTCTCTAGCAGAACAAATGTATGTGCTTGTGTACTTGCATTGGTCATGATGGGTAGAGGCACCTGAGGCTTCAATTAAAGGGAAGTGGTGAGAGAAAGAGAGCAATATATACATTTAAGGGCAGCAGGATGCTGGGGACTTTCTACCTTGCCCTCACGGCTCTTTAGAGACTTATTGACATGCCCTGAGGAAGCAGTATTGCTTCATTAGACAGAAGTCATATGATTTTCTTAGGAACCAATAAAGATTTTCTTTTTCTCTTTTACAAGAAGATTCAAAAGAGACATTTAAGAGTCTTCATCAGCACAGAATATAATCAGCTTTGAATTATTTACATCTTATCCAAATTATAAGATGGCATATTAAACACCCTTTGTTACAGGTGTTGCTATAGTTTTTCTGAAAAGCATTATCCCAGGATCTGGCTCAAGTCTTATTAAGATCATTCAGAATGGGATGAACAATAAATATTTGATGGCATTCTTCCTATAGTCTCTTGAAAAACAATTTTGAAGAGCCCCAGGGCGTTAACAGTGATCAAATTATGAAACAAACCATTTTTTCACTTCCAACAGAAAGTTCCTGGCTCCTTGAACAGGAATGAGGGAAAACTCTGAGGTCACATCCGACTACCTCACAAAAAGGCTGTTGTGTTTGTACCTCTTGTGTGCCAGAAGGCAGATGAAGAATGCAGACAAATCTGAGGATAAAATATGCCCTTGTACCAAATAAAAATATGCTTAAAAAGAGCCTGGCTGAAGAGATGTTGAGAACAAAACTATCCAGATTCTTTAAAATGTTTATTCAAATTTGTAGGTCAAGGTGAAATGGTTGTGGGCCAAGGTAGTTGAGAGGAATGGTACAAATAAGGCAATTAACATAGAAAGGCTTTCAAATAGAATCTAATCAGCAATATTCACGGGAGTATTTAGAACTAATTATAACATATCTGTTAGAATAATTATCTGAAGTCACAACTGATATTATAGTTATTTAAATATCAATTACCATAGCAGATTTTGGAGCTATCAGTAGAAGCCAGAGTCACATCAAATTTCTTGAAGCTAAATTTATAATCATTATAAAACTTGGAACTTTCACTATGCCCTGGAGCTTTATAAAATGAGAGACACAAGCCACTTGTTACTGTTGCTATGATACAAATGTTTATATCACACATTTCTATAGAAGGAAGAAAAATGACAGGTTCTTACCAAGTAATCATCAGGCTTGATACCAAAAAGTTCTCTGAAATATCGGAATGCTAATGGAGCGTATGTCTTAAATCTAAAGTCTGGGTAGTGATGTGCTGGGGTCAGATTGCTCCCTTCGCTGAAGTCAAAATATTAAAAAGAGAGAGAAAGAAAGAACACATTAGCAAGGACAATTTTGACTGCACATCTAGCTCTATTAGTCCTGGGCCAATATTATCTCTAGAAAAATCAACCCCACGAGAGCGGGTTTCTCAAAGTTCATGTCACAAAGGCCAACGATCACCAGGTAGAACATATGTTAAGTCAGTGAGGGTCACTCCATTCAGGCGCTCCCCACCAATCAGTGTCACATGCCTGAAAATTCATTATTCCCTTGTGCCTTCTTCCTGGGAAGATCACTCCATCATCGCCAGTATACTCACATTGTAATGTTTTGGGTAAAAGATCTGGGTCTTAATGTGTGGAGCAATTTCAAAAGTATATTTTTTAACCACAAATTTTGGATATTTGACAAGTATTGTTAAATAGGGATTAGGGATAAGTGAAATAATTCTTAAAACAGAGAACCATCACACTGAATAGTACCTCAATCTGAACTCTTTCATTTACATTTTCCAAAAAAAGACACCTTACATATTTTAAGAATTTAAAACCTGATTTCCAATCCCCAATATTTCATTACCTTCTTTTCCTTTTCCTGGGTTCATTTGGAAAAAAATATACACAATATTTATGATATATAAAATGTATAAAGAATAAACCAGTGAATACCAATGAATCCAAAATGCTGCTTAAGACATAAACCATTATCCATACAGTTGAATCCCCTTCTGTACTTTTTGCTGGTCATATCCATAGAGGCATCCACGGGCCTAAATGTTGATGTTTATCAGTCTCATCCTTTTTATTCTTTGACTCCATACAATATTACCTAATACATGAGCCAGTCAAACCACCTAAGCCACTCATTCTTAAATTTTTCAGTGTGAAAAATGAGAACAATGCAATAGAATTTTATGTAAAGTTTCAAGATCCCTTTGAACTACATTCTAGGTGGGACATCAAGGGCCTATGCAATTTTATCATGGTCTGTTTTTCATGGATACCACACAAAAAGGACTGGGCAAATGACAAAGGCTTTCAGCACAGAATAAACACTTTGGATCTACTACAGTTTAAGCTGTTGAGATCAATCAGATTTTTGCATCAGTGCCTGGCACATAGCAGACACTCAATAAGTATTTGTTGAGTGAAAGAATGCTAATATGGAAGAGTTGATTCTTACATGGATTAAGCACAGTAACAGGTCACCCTTGAAAACTATTTAGGAAATATCTATTCAATATATCCAACGCAACTAGTTTTTCCTTCTGCACAATTATAGATGACTGTTTGTTTTGCTGAGTACCAGAGGATGGAGCTGGCTTGTGTTGGTAGGGGTCAGCAGCATATGATAAATGGTTATCTTGAAAGGCTAGGATTCACTCAGGCAGCAGCAAGGTATACACACTAGGAGAGGAGTGGCACACAGACTAAGACTACCTGAGAGAGGAGCAGTCACATCATAAGGAATGACCCCCAAATCATCTACTCATTTAAATGGTCACTGTTTCTTTAAGCAAGCATAGTTGAATATTCAGTATGTATGATGCCCGGCACTGTATCCAAACATTTTCTTTTTCTGTATTTTGGGATTTAGGAGGGGATTCAATCCCATGGGACTGTAAAAAGGAATGATTCTGGAACTTACATGACATGTAATAATTTATTAATATAAATGTAGATCATATAGAAATAAAGAAAAGCGGCTCAAAGAGCCCTGTAACATCCTTCCTTACTTTTGCAAGCATGTAAAAATAACCACAATGCCTTAGGTTCTGAAGCAGGCTGCTTTCAGTGGGCTAAGGGCATTGACGGTTTCTTATTTCTCTCTTTTTCACTTTCTATTTCATATAAAGTAATTCATTCTATTGGAGTGGATTCCCTTCAACATTCAAAGAGGTGAGATAAAACACCCATGTTCCGCTTAAATGGAGTTTCTCTCATTTTTTACAGTTTTGGGCCCAAGATTTTATCAGAGAAGATGCTGCATTTACTATTATTACTTTCATTTTTGGTTACTCCTGAGCTCTTCGGATTATTCATCTTTCCCTGAGGTTTCCATTAATATAATAATTTTCCTTGGATTCACATCTCTCTAACTACTGTGATTTGTTCGGTTATGGTGTAAAAAGGATAGTGTTAGGTTTCCCTGGAGGGGAGACAGATACACAGACACATGTACACACATCCACACATAAATGCTCATGTACACAGAGCAGAGCGGCTTCAGATGGAGAAAGGGAACATTTATTTCCTTAGGTATACAGAAATAATAGTAGGTATTTGGTAGTTTAAACAGCCACTAAATCATTCCATGAAAAAGAATTAAATCTAGCTAGCTTTGGGCCACATTAAGATATGGAGAAGTGGCCGGGCGCGGTGGCTCAAGCCTGTAATCCCAGCACATTGGGAGGCTGAGGCGGGTGGATCACGAGGTCAAGAGATCGAGACCATCCTGGTCAACATGGTGAAACCCCGTCTCTACTAAAAAAATAAAAAAAATAAAAAAAAATTAGCTGGGCATGGTGGCGCGTGCCTGTAATCCCAGCTACTCAGGAGGCTGAGGCAGGAGAATTGCCTGAACCCGGGAGACGGAGGTTGCGGTGAGCCGAGATCGCGCCATTGCACTCCAGCCTGGGTAACAAGAGCGAAACTCCGTCTCAAAAAAAAAAAAAAAAAAAAAAAAAAAAAAAAAAAAAGATATGGAGAAGTATGAGGCAACTCTGAGGCGGGCTTAACCTGTATGGGACAACCAAGAAATTATATTTGTATAAACAGAGAAAATGAAAAGGAGTGGGCATAATACTTAATGGAGGCATCATACAGAGTGGATGTAGCTTCATGGCGTAATTAACATATAGAAAGTAACATTTAATTGCTGAGGTTATGTAATCTGGAACCTCTGTATTTGTATGAATGGAAAGGAAAATTCTCAAATAGTGGCTTCTGTAAATTAGGTTTGTAGTATATCACAACTTTTTGTTTGCTTGTTTTCTCTCCTAGTAGATTTTATGTTATGGCTTCTGTTTTCCTTTTGTTAATATTAAGGCTGGGCTGTACTCGCTTAAGTCCTACTGGATACACTGTGTGACAGTTAAGAAGATGGATTTTATAGTCCAGGGAGACCTGGGTTCAAGTTGCCTCTGCTATTTACAAGCTGAGTTTCACCAGGCCCAGTACAGAACCTCTACAAATTAAGTGGCTTAGTGAATGAAAAGGTGAAAGCTAACGTGCTTGGAATGCAAGGAGCCCTTAACACATTTGGATGATTGAGGCTATACAGGAAACAACCCTAAGCTAAACACTTCACATGAGGCATGTGTTGAAAGTGTAGTTATGAAAAACAAGAAAAATAAATGACAAAATGGGAAAATACTTGCAACTCATATCACAGACAATTGGCTAATCTCCTAACATAAAGAGCCCCAATAAACTGCATAAAAGTCCAAAAAGTACGGCCTGAGCAACATGGCAAAACCCTGTCTCTAGGAAAAATACAAAAATTTGCCTTGCATGGTGGTGTACACCTGTAGTTCTGGTTACTTGGGGGGCTGAGGAAGAAGGATTGCCTGAGCCCAGGAAGTAGAGGCTGCAGTAAGCTGAGATTGCACCACTGCACTCCAGCCTGGAACAGAGCAAGACACTGTCTCAAAAAAAAAAAATAAAAAAAAAATAAAAAATAAAAAAATTGACTTAAAAAAATAGCTGAGGATATGATCAGGCACTTCACAGAAATGAAAAGATATACTCAAACATAAGAAAAGATGCTCAACTTCATTCATAATAAAATAAATGTCACCAAGAGATTGGTGAAAATCCATAACTGTAATGTTGCTTAAGGGGAACTGGTATTCTAAAACATTGTTAGTGGGAATGTAAATTGAGATTTCTTTTTTTCCCATGAAGGACATTATTACAAACACGTAATTCCTTGCTCCAGCAAATGCATGCCTATGTTATCCTATAGATTAACTCGCGTTTGTCCTAAACAATACATGTGAACATGGTTACCCATTATGGCAACCTAGATGGACTTCAGAAGAGGACTTGTCTAATTAATTATGATTCAGCTACACAATGGAATTTTATGCAGTATTAAGAAAAGGGTAAGGATGCTTATTATGTACTGACACGACAAGATCTCTAAGATAAATTGTTAAGTAGATGAAACATGATGCAGAATGCTGTGTATGGGATGTCACCACTTGTATATAAAGGAAAAAATATTCTTCTGGCAGGCATGTGCATAAAAAAATCCTTGAAGGAAAAAAAAGCCATAAGTAATCGTGATAAATGGAGTTGGACACTGAGAGAAGGCACAGGGACGAAAGGAACGCTTCACAGTATTCCTTTTAAAAACAGGACAAGCCTTGCTACGTATTATCATTCATAAAATTAAATAATTCTTAAAAGTTAGAGGTTAAAAGCCATAAGCTGATCCCTCTTCCCCCAGGCAGAGCCCTCCCTGCCCAAGCACCACAGCAGAAGGTTTGTTTACCTCTGCATATTTAAGCTGCTCCAATGAATAACAAATACCAGCTTGACGTGAATGAAGCTCTAGTGAAGGAAATGCAAATTAATGAGATTGCTGGCTCCTGCTGGGCCTGGGTATTTGTCAGGAGTGCATGAGTGCAGAGAACCAAACAGCAAGTCCAGCGAAGGTCAGCCAGTAGGCAACGACCATGGTTCTCTGAGGTCACACGCTAGCAGGCTTACTGTGTGTAAACGTGGGTGCTAGGCCACAGACGTTCAGCACAGAATCTCCACAGCACAGGTACCAAGTGCTTAGCAACTTCTTGTCAACATTTAAACACAAGACTGCAGTCAACGTTCACCTGCTGAAGTTCACAAGCTTTCCTTGCCTGAGACTGGGGTTACCTGTTGGGTAATTGTGCTCATAGCATCCAGATTTAGCAAAAATGAAGTCAGAGAAAGAGTAGACCTCCTCAAAGTTTAAGATTTACTTTGTATTTCTTCAATGCACTTATGTAGGGTATGAAAACAAACAAACAAACA